GAGCGTGACAATGTGCAGAACAATTCATGTTCGATAGAGTTAGATGAAGACGAAGACGGTTGGTTGAACAAGTTTTAACAGAGCAGCCCATTTACTATATCAACATTGTAATGAATTGTATATTTGTTAGAATATTTTTGTTAATAAAGTTTAAATGTCTTCTTGCACATTGTGTACATCATTTTATGGTGTTAAATGGTTATTTAGATTGAAAATCAAAGATATGTGTTAACAAATATTCAAGATACCTTGATTTACTTATTTTTACAGGAATCTTCGACGCCATCTTGGAAATTACCCTTTCCGGAGGCCCGATTTTCCTAGACTTTTATACTTTCATTGACAGGTATCTATTAAAGTAAAATTCAACAAAAAATCATTTGTAGCAATTTTTTGGGGTGTTTGCATAAGTTTACTCGACTAACAGGGTGAGGCAGTGAGAACCCCCCGATATTCTTTCGTTCTCACATTATAAGTAAAGCAACAATGGATGAACAGCTGCCCTTATAACATAAGTCAAACCATGCAATTTTAGTGAACATTGTGCTTGAGGCTTGTAACATTCAGATTTTGATGTAGGAACCTATTTGTAAAATAGTGATTGTTGTGCAAACACCCAGAGGTTGCTTGGACCACATCCCATACGTGGTCAATATGGCGCTGTTCCAGATTGGGAAACAATAGGAAGCTGGGAATAGGATAACAGCTTACACTATAAAAATAATTGCTGGGTGCCGCAATTCTCTTTTAACACCAGCAAACGTTGAAAGAGTGTGAGTTGCAGTAACTCGAAGTCCAAAGAGGTTTGCCAGAATGCTTTCATTGTTGGAAGCTTTATGTTTGCTCTTTGCTTTTTTTGGATTCTCCCTTATACAACCCTTATATGCGTATACTACTTCAAATTTAAGTTTTTTCAAAGTTGCCCTAGAGATTTTTTCTTGAATTTCCAAGACCCTAAAGTGGTTCCTAAAGAAATGTTGGAAGGAATATGCAATGGCGTTTTTAAGTGACTGAAAAGGACAATGTCAAGTAGGTCAAGGACATCACTTAAAGGATTTTGTTTTCAAGAAGTGGTAAAAACTGACTTTGTTAAAGTTAAACATGGCAAAAGATAAGCTGTGTTTAATGTGCTATTTATATGTATAGGGTTAATAGTATTGAATTTGAACTATTTATAAACTGAGACGCTTTCATTGCCTCGTATAATCAATTACTGTATAATCAATGCCTGTATAATCGATTACACGTAAAGATAATAGATGTATAAGGACAGAAAATGCACGTATAAGCTTTGCTGAATAAGAGTGATTGATTGATCTACTTGTTTTTTGATACGTCTTGGTTATAAGAGCTTGCTACAAAAATTTACAAACGGTGATTCCAGTCGTGTTAACTTGACTATTAAAGCTTTATTTACATTAGTTTTTTTATTGAAATATCCAAACTTTATTTCAAAGAGGTTTCTTATCAAAACCTCATCGTTATATCTCTTTTCAAATACGTCATCTTCAACTAATCACGAAATAAAAACTTGTGCTAGTTCGTAATTTTAAAAATGTGATACAAAAATAAACAATAAATATGTTTTGTACATTTTTATCACAATAAATCATGTAAAAAAGGTTAATAAATTGATTTTACCATACTTTTATTAACCGAATACACTGAATGTAAAGATTACAAATCTAAAAGAGGTTTTACACAGTAAAATAAACAACCACGCCAATCATAGATTAGATGGAATTATTTGTGTAATGATATTAAAATATTTGGAAGTATAGCTCCGTATATTTATTTGTTTATATTAGGCTACCGTAAAATGCCATATGCAAATTATTATAAGCCGTAGTAAGAAGACAATACCCAAATTATTGTATTCTGGGAGATAATATCTCAAAAACTGGTTTTTATTACTGTTTATTAATACTTACAACTGTTAGAGAGTAAAATCAGAAAGATACAAATTAACTACATCGTACATAGTTTAGTTTTTTTCAAGTATTTACAAGCTCGGGCAACAATTAGGTTAATCAAGTAATTTTACATACACAATTTTCCAAAAAAGTAATTAAAACATTGCTTTGCTTCTCATAATACATGCACATGCTTGATGCCCTTATTATATTTGATATTGATATATATTCAAATTATATTTGACATAGGCTCCTTTCGTTTCAATATATTATTGAACCTAAGTTGTGAACTTACAATGTTGTTTGTATAACAGATAATGAACTTTAATTTCATAAATTTATCAGCTCAATAATAGTGTCTTGGCAGTAACCGCTATAAAGTTAGTTCCTAAAAACGTGTGGAATATACTGTATATGTAGTTTATGGATACTAACCAACCATGTTCACATGATCATATTGTGGTTGTTCATGTTTACACAAAGATTTGTGTATATCACAAACCAATGCCTTAATTATTACCAATAACTTAATTACAATAATGAACTATATGTTTATACCCTATGTTAACCCTATTTTTATAAATAACATCACAATGCATATATTTGTTGTTGGACGTTGTTGCTTACAATGAAACAACTTTTTGCCTTTGCTGGAAAAAATAATACCCCACTGTCATAAAAAAGCGCTTGGATTTAGTATAGCTAATTTATTTAACACGAATGCCATAACGTTTGTTATGAGTTCGTTATAATTAGGAAAGAAATAATTTTAAAAGACTTTCCATCTTAAATACTATTATATTTTCGAATATATTTTTTACACGTAGTTGATAACAATAGGAGGCAGTTCTTGTCAGATTCAATATCAGGGTTCAAGGTAGAATCTTACAAATCTTCATGTGAAGTGATGCATGTAAACAAGAATGGAATCTTCGTTTCATCCCAGTGAGCTTCATAGTATCATACAGTTTTATATATTTTCTTATACATAATTCTTGAGTAACGGTCAAAAATAGTTATTTATTCGATTGCATTTTATTAGACGTACATTGTATTCTTGATTTGAATGAACTAAAATTAAAAGTTAGGCTTTCTAAAGATCTTGTGACCAAGAATGAAATTTCTATTCTAATTTTCGTATTTGGTAGCTTTGATTTCTTAGGAGGGGAGGGGGGGGGGTCGATTGCATTTATATTTGCTTAAGAATAATTAGAGTATATTAATTTAGGCCGTTAAGTAAACATGTTTAAGTAGATACTGAAAAATTCAGCCGCATCTTCATTATTTCTAACAAAACTATTTTTTTTATTAACTAAGACATTTTTAATTGACTATCATATGCCCTGAAATAAATAGAACTAACATAAAAATACAACATGTTAAAATAATAAACTTACAAGCGATCGGTATGACAAGTAATTAATTATAATATTAAATTATAAAAAGAAGATTTGAATGGAGGCAAAAATAAATTTAAAGGGTATTCTTTTTAGAAATATAATACAGCTATCTTAGAGCAAAAACACTTTTGAACAATATTTTAAACACATTGTTCACAATTAAAAATAATATTAATACTTACACACTAAAGAGAATGTTTGCAAAATATATTACTTTTTTACTGATCTAAAAAAAGTAATAAAATCCATTTGACATTTTTCACGATCATATAAAGTCTAACATTTCGTCTAAATGAGAAATTTACGTTATTCAAAATTCGTAGCTAGGATATTCAATACGAATAGGAGATACATTTGACAGGGCAAACACAAGTACCTGCATTTGTACAAACAGTTAGAGGACATGTATGAAATGGAACAGTCAAACAGGAAGAAAAATCAATATGCTAGGACAAACATTTACACAAATATACAGTGATCCATCTATAAGGATGTTTCAAGCAAAACTAACAATTGAATAAAGATAATAAATACGAGTATTTTACAGATTAGCATCAATAGTAATCAGCTTTTTTTCCCTTCAATAGCTTATTGTATTCGATAGCTTATTGGTCTGTAGCATTCCATAATATAAATAAAATGAGATAATTTAAATTTTACCTACAATTCAATTTTCACTAACATATTCTCCTAAAATGTTCCGATAAATGTTATATTTATATAACACTGAATAAATTATAATGATTACTTAGTTTTTCTGCTTTAAGGAAGGTAATAAAGTGTGTATTTATTTAAATGTTAATTGCTTGGCTTAAAATAAATCCATTTCCAGATTTTATCAAACTGTATTATGCCTAATAAGTAAATTACATTAGTTTATTTATTCTCATAAAGAGTTACATATAATTTTTTTTATTTAAAGCTGTTTTGAATTTCCTCCGTACTAAAACGTTTAATATACTAAACAACGTTTGTGATTTTTAAGCCTTACTGTCCATGGATCAACACGTAGTTCAGTAGTCTTTGGAGTTGTGTGATTAAAATTTATTTCCAAATAGTTTACGCAGCTCTGTAAAACGCAGTAGGTTCGGCTAAAAGAGTTTTCACCACATGATGTTTTTAGCTTTTTGACATACGTTAATTGGTGGCTGAAATTTACGTTTTGATGGCCATGCCGGCTGTCATCGTCATTTTAGGGACTGAGAAGGTTTTTACATCTCTAGGGCCGCTAAATCAACTGTTCGCTTATTTACTTGAAACAATAATGCATATAATTGTTATTATAAAATACACAAGCTGTTTCCATAGCATTGCAATAGGCTTTTTTTATCACCGCTGCTTAGCAACTGTGTATTATTATTTTTGCTGATTCCTCAAATAATTTCTTCACATAAACCTAAAGTATTAGTTGTGTTGACTGTTAGTGAACATTATAATTGTTTAGAATAGTGGTATTATTTTATAGTGTGATGAAAATAGCGTTTTTACCACGGACCGAAATGGTTTTGCAGCTGTCGATCGTTTTAAGTTCGAGACGAAGTCGAGAACTTAAAAACTATCTCGAGCCAGCAAAACCTAATTTTTGGCCCTAGGTATACTATTGTCATTTTAAAACGACAGATTTTTCATTATACTAAATTAAATATCCACATTTTAGTACAGCATATGTTACATTTATACTCTTTAGTTCCTATAAAACTCATCGTGATTTTTTTTCTTTCTTGTGAGGCTTTATCTGTACGTCCATTACTGTCTTCATTCTTTCAAGAGACCGCACAGGAAGTAAGCTGTAACAAAGAAAAACGTACATTTTAGACTTTCCGCAATTAAAGGATATCTGAAAACTTAATTTTATTAACTTAAATTAGGGTGAAAATTGATCTGAAAATTGTTATAGAAGTAATATTTCTCAATTGGGCTTTATATCATCACCTAATCAAATTTGAATTTACTTGCTTACTTTTTGTACGTTTTGGGTTTAATTTAATTGGTAAATCATAGATATTCTTTTTATATAAAACGTTTCTATACATTTCCGGGCTATTATATTTACAATTAAAAATAAAATAGCTACAACATTTCTTTTCAAACGAAAAAACATTTGAACGTAGGGATTTAGTTACAAAATTTTACGACAATTTACTCTTGACAGTATTGGGGAATCTTCTTGAATTAATTGTAATAATGCCAGTTTTAGTTGACTGGTGTGATTTAAACGCTGTCCACGTCATAAAACTACTAGGAGGTCACGAACTTTGGATATTTATAGGCATGCACTGTGGATCCGATACTCCCCGATGTGGATTAACGTCCGCACGAGTGAGTACTACGACTAATCCGCAGCACTATCCTGATAGTAAGACCAATTCGTTTATACCAAGTCAAAAAGGTGGTTCAGATTACTATAAACTGTAGGTCCCTTAGTTGCCATTCAGCTGTATGGGCTATTAAATAACAGCTATGTCTAAGGAATATGTTGGCCTTAGTCACTAAAAAGACTACAATATCGCACCACTCATCCTACACTCATCTCCATTCATACTTGGCTTAAAATACCTACTTTGTATGGTCACCATTTAAATGAAAAAGTATTGAAAACTCCTTTATTTTGAAGACAAATAAACGTTAAATTAACCTTTTCCATTATTTTATTTTGTCCAGACCTTTTGTACACCCTGGTTAGAGAGCTTTATAGATTTGAGGATCTTTACTTCCAGCTAGAAAAAAAGTTTAAAGCAATTTTAACTGTAATACAATGTAGTCTTTATTTTACTTTATGATACTCTTTACTTTACGTATCGTATTTGATTGATACTTAAATAAACACTCTAATCTAACTTAAATTACATTTTTAAAATCAGCAACAAAGCATAGGTGTTGACTAATAAATCTTACTTAATATTTATTTTACCTTAATTTTCCTTAAATACTTTTAACTACCTGCTGTAATTAGGTAAGAATAAAAGAAAAAGAAACTTATTTATGGGAACAAAAATAATAAGCTAATAAAACTCACTCCAAAAGTTTAACAGAGTATTCGAATGATGAAGGAACAAAAACCGAAACTTGGTTTCGTTGTACCCCTGCAATAGTGGCATCAACAACGTCTTCTATAGGAATAGCAGGAACTCTGAAATCAAACATGTTTTTATATACAATACTAGCTGTGTACCCGTTCTACGCACGGGGATCTTATAATATTCAGTTGAAACCTTCTTATATAAAGAACAGTAGTTGGTTTGCATATTTTAAGATATGCTGGCCAAACTATTATACATAGCTTCATTTTATGTTGTTTTTTGTTGTTCCGGATCGGTATGACAATCAATAAAAGGTTAAATTACCTCTGTGTCTGCCGGTCGATCCTATAACGGTAGGCTTACTTTTATTTTTACTATCTGATCTCGTTTGCATGGCTCAATCACGTCCTGGTTGAAGTTCGTTCGCTACGCTCACTCACCTGTATGTTGGAGCTCGTTCGCTGCGCTCACTTTCCTTCAGGTTAGCTCGTTCGCTACGCTCACTTGCCTTCAGGTTAGCTCGTTCGCTACGCTCACTCGCCTCCAGGTTGCAAATTAGCTGTTGTCATAAATGTAAAAGAAATAATAGTGCTAGTGCTGCACCCTGTTGGTAATCCTTGTAACTTTAATGCTATTGAACATCACAGAACAGAACCAACTTGTTTAATTGAAACAGCTGTTAAGATTCAATAATTTCATTTCTCATAAGGTTAACATGGGCTTCCAGAAATTCCACGTCAAAAATCGACAAAAACTTGATTTTCAAGGGTTTACTGTTAAATATCTAACTGTCTCATATTCGATGAAATACGTCTAAAACCATCTCATATATGTATAGTATTTGGAAAATAAGTTTCAGGCGGGACAGTGCTATAGTTATTGAGGAGTAGTTGTAATAAAGTGCGTATTTTAGCGTTACCAAGAGAATGACAGATAGACAGACAGACAGACAGACAGACAGACAGACAGAAATTGAGATAAGGTTTGATTCGGTTTCTCTGACCTATGAAATGTAAAAATAACCAAAAAGTTCATTATTCTAAGCAATGTACAGACAAAACTCTAATTTTATTTATATAGATAATCAATTAACATGTGGACTCCATCTAGGCGCGTATGAGTAAAGAATGAGAGTAGGACTTATTAATATTCCGTCTAAAATATAAACTAGCACTAAGAAAAAGATTACTTGTTTGGCTAAGATCCTAAAAAATAACAAAGACATAGACAAATAATAGATAACTCTGTCAACCTTTTGAACTAAGAAAAAAATTACTTGTTTTGAGAAGATCCTAAAAAATTACAAAGACATAGACAAATAATATATCACTCTGTAAACCTTTTGAACTATATTCAAAGGTTACAAGAACTTTTTTTGTATAGAATATTTTGAATTGTAACTGTTGTTGCTTTGTAAAACAGTTTATGTTTACACTTTTTGACTGTTACTTTTCGGTTGTGTAATTGTTTTTTTTACCGTGTATGGAAAAAGATAATGCTAACCAAATCCAAACAAACATGCCTTGTAACATTACCTAAATGTGATATTGCATTTCATGTCATTTTCAGACATTTTTAACGTATAACTGAGGTCTAGTTCAAATAAACCACCAAACTTTACTGAAAAATCTGTTTTCGATTATGTTCATTTCAAAACAGTGTTGTAACGGAAGATAACTTATTTTAATTTGGTCACATATATTGCTTGTTAAATAACTTTTTATTTTCTTATAAACCAAAAATTTAAATATACTCTATCCTGCAAACAACATTTTGTAAATCATAAAATGATTGAACGTACCTAAGTTTCCACTCATTCACATAGTCGGCGCTTGTGTTGATGAAGTACGGGTACACTGTAGTTGTGTTGATGTTGTGCTTAAACTTTACTTCTGAATGAACAACTTTCATTAAACCTGGAAACAGAGATAATTGTGTTTTAATAATTAAATTACTATTGTTTTAAGTAGGCCAGTGTACTTGATCAGGGGGTCTGTTGTGTGTGTAAAGATAGTGGGGTGTACTAAAGAACAAGGTCCTGCTGGAGGAGCTGGAGCCCAAAGACAATCTTAGGGGTTTCAAAATTGGGGGTTTCTTCTATTGTACTATACTATTGTAGTATACTATTGTAAACTAAATAGTTATCACTTTTCCTGTCGACTCAACCTTTTATTTTATTTTATGTGTTTTATGTTGTTTTGTTGGCTAAAAAAGTTGGGCTTTGTAAGCGAGTGCTGATATTTATTCCTGAACCCAAAGTAGCAGTTGGTGAAACGCTGGTTAATGAGGTTACCTACCATTGCAGGATATCCATCAACTATATTTTATAGCTGGTATGAATTTGTTTACTTAAAATGTATAAGAAAGGGAATATGATTAAGAAATTTGAAATGGTTTTCAATGTCACAATGGCTTAGTAGTATAATTTAAATACCTCTAACTCCAAACTTGCTGGCTATGTAGGCGGAACCTGCCGAATCTCCAACAAATGATGCCATAGATGCTATGGCTACTATATGCCCACTGTTACGCTCTTTCATTGAGGGGAGAAACTCTTTAAGCATCTACAAAAAAATCACACACACTTTTAAAACTAAACAAATATTTATACCAATAAAACTCATTCTATAACTCTCCTTTATAAATTCAAAGGAGGTAAACAAAGAAGTGTGCTAGTATAAACATGTAAATTTTTTTCTTGAGTGAACTAATTATGTTTTCAATCTTTCATATGTTGGCTGGGTACACTCATTTGATTTTAGTATTAAATACAATTAAAAATATTTCTAGAAAAGTTAATTTTTCTAGACAAACATGGATTAAACCAACTATTACATTAAATGCAGTCTCCATTAACCAATTTGTCTACATATATTTTATATAATTACCAATGTTAAAAACTTACTTATCTATTGAAAAACATAATTCATCAGAATTAATATATTACATCATATGATCTTTCCCGCTCGAATCTACTATTCAAATTATCTTTCAAGAATCTATTCGAGTCTCAGTTTCCACGGAAAAATGACGTTCAGAAGAAACACTCTATGGTTACTTATGTGGTGTCTTGCACTAATGCGGGTGTCTCAGAGGGCATAGCCTAACACCAACTCCCCTGACCAACATGTAATACAACGGTCACAGTGAAAGAAGACCCTGAGCTTTTTGTGATCGGAATTTACCCACAATGCTTGCCGCTCAGGCTCTTCCTTGCTCGTCACAAGTATGTTTCTTTTTTATCTACGCCAGAGGCATTTTACATGGTCAACGAGAGAAATACAAGTTTAGTTCTTCTACAACATAATTGAGCGGAAAGCGCATTATAAGTGAGTATCTTCTGCAACTTACTTCCCTTTTAGTGTTTCTAATGACTTGTGGCTCGGTAACTGTTCTTGAGGAAGCAAAAGAAAGTAATGGAACTTATATATATATATATATATATATATATATGTTTTTTAACAAACCTTACCCAAAAGTGGCTCAACAGGTTGACGTCAATGACAGCTTTGATGTCAGCCTCGTCACACTTCTCCAGCAGATCCCCGCCGTACAAGATACCTGCGTTGTTGACCAGGATGTCTACAGGACCTAGGTCTGACATCACTGCCTCCCTCAGCACTCTACTGGCCGCTGGGTCGGCCACGTTACATTCGTAGGCCTGTGGGAGCAAAGTTGTTCAATAATATTTTAACATATTTGGTAAATGTTTGGAACAGACAACCAATTTAAAATAGTTTGATTTAAAAGTAGAGCATTAAAAGAATTATTACTTAAAACATAAAGAGTAAAACATCAAGAGAGTCATAAAGAGGGCTATCGTCATCTGAAGGCTTGTAATCGGAGTTGGAAAATTGTAAGTCTTTTGGAGATGTATCCTATTCAAATGTTTTATTTCTCTAATTATGATCCACCAAAATACTACTTCTCCTAATATTATCTAGTTTGGCCATAACCAATAAAATAATACCTAAAGGATCGGCTTTCCTGAGATTTATACAGTATGTGACCAAAGAGATATTGTTGAAAGTTCAGAAAATAAAAAGATACACTGTATTTTTCCAACTCCGTACGTGTCGTGACAACAGGCCGTGATGAAATCTTGTTATCATCCACCTGGGATACAGAAACAACACGCTTGCTACGCTAAATCACATTGCCTGTCTCAAAATCACGCTTATTTTATTTTAGCCCTCTCACCAGCATCCTAACACCTAAGATGGTTCCTCAATTTTATCATTTGTTTACCTTCACTCTTATAATTAACCGCTTTGACTGAGTGGTTAAAGTACTCACCTAACAATCAATTGAACGATTACCGGTTCAATCCTAAAAAGTCAGCAGCTTTTTGATGGTTCAAAACTGGACCCACCCGTCCCTGGCTTAACATAAATTATACTGACTGATGAAACAACTGATAGTCCGTATCAAAGTAACACAGGTCACCTCACACCATTCTACACTCATTCTTCCATTGGGTTGAAATACGCACCTAGTTGGTGTCCCCGTTTCAATTGATAATGAAAACTACGTAAATTGCCCTCCAGCAACAGTTTTACTATCTTATCGTCATGCTTCTTGCGTTAAACAGACTTCTCTTAACATCTGTCGTAACGCCTTAAGCTGTTTCCCCTTTATTTCATTCGTTTTACCTTGGACCCTCATCCACAGTCGTATTACCTTAGCCACTCCTCCGTCATCTATGATGTCATTAGCAGTTCCTCGGGCGTTGCTGATGTTGATGTCTACTACGGCGATTTTACAACCCTCCTTGGCCAACCCCAAAGCCAAACCTCGACCTAGACCTCGGCCTCCACCTGTAACCTAAGAGATACATGGTCAGTTCCCTGGTATACTTCCGTATCTGTTGGCACAAACAACCGAATGAATATATCGATTATTCGATTGTTTCAATTTATCGATTTATCGTTTGGTTAGGTTAGGTTAACCGTACCTAACTAACCAAACGATATATCACATAATCGATACATCGATCGATATTTTCATTCGGTTGTTTGTGCCAACAGATACGGAAGTCTACTAAGTTCCCTGAGGAGTAACACATACAATTATAAAATGTTCCACTTCAAAATGCAAAATATTTTATAGTGGGTGTTTTAACTATAACATGCATTCTAATTGTATAGCTCTCCATTCATTGTATTTTCAAATTAACTTTGACACTACAATATAATTTTTATATTTTCTTATAATTTTTTAACATAGTTGACTTTTTATATACAACCAATTTTAATGTCAGGATCTATACTTTGTGTTATACAATACCCAACTATATTTTAAGCAATCACATTTTCTCTTAAGTGGTTCTATTTTCATTAAATATAAAGAAATACAAATAGTAGCAAAAGCTTAAAAACGACAGTCTTGTGATATATTTACATTCAGAGATAAGCTTCAATTTTACGTCAGTAATAACTTTGATAAATTAGATTTAATTAATTATCCTTACAGCACTTTTTATTTATTGTGCAAAAGAAATCAGTGCATCTAAACAGATCAGTATTAAAATATTATACCAGAGCCACTTGTCCAGTCAAAGATTTTCTGGGTGGTGGAATGATCTTGCTTATTATTGTCATGATGATGTCATGGATAATGGAGGGTAAGATACACAGTATCTGGGTAACTAGCAAGAACAGCTCCTTGTATGCAATCTTCCTCTGTTCGACCGCCGGAGGGGAAGGGTTTCTTATCAAGCCGTCAGGAAGCCCTGTCGTCTCCATAGTTCTGAAAATATTGATAGCAAATCTGAATAGTTTCTGTCAAATTAATTAGGTTTATTTTCGTAATCACTTGTATAAAAAATATATTTTTAAAATATATTTAATGCTTTTATTGCAACAGTTCCTTGAACTTCCACTGTTTTTTTTTTTTTTTTTTACATGGGAACCGTACCACATTGGCAACAACAACTTTTAGTTGTAATTATTAATTTTGTATTCATACAGCTTTATGGTCTCATTTTATCCTTAGAACAATTGGTAAACGTAACAGTCATAGATCCCTATTTATCTAAAAATTGCATTATTTACCGAAATCATCTATTAGGATTAGGTATAAGGATGATTTGAGCTTTAAGTCGCTAAATTGATCACCATTTAACATTCGACATACAAATTAACCATATTTTATACTAATAACATGTATATTTATATATCTTTCAAGTTTTATAAGATTTGTTTTGCCATGTTCCGTGAACTGATATGGGAGATGTCTATAAAATGTCATTCTTCAATTATTCTATGCAAGTATTGCTTTTGGTTCTGTAATAAATTTGAAATCGTACAATGCCTCAATATTGGAATTTGCATCGGAACGTAAATATTGGTTTTAAAATAATGTGATTTTAAATTGCTGTGATAGTAGGCCTCTCGCCCACTATACGATTTCGGTCGTACGACACTGTGTCGTACGATATTCTTATCATCTGTGTGGTCCTCGCCCACTTTACGACACTTTGTCGGATAAATGGCCAGTTGCTCGGTAGCCCTGGAAGAGTGAGGTGTGGGTGTATTGCGCAATATCTTAAAACAGTGGTTCTGTATCAAATAGTAAAACAATGATTCCGTTACGTGTTGTTGCAATGTGGCTGCTGTGGCGATAGTGGCCAATGTAGGCCTACGGCATTAAAGAAACATTTATTTTTATGTGTAAATTATTTTTTAAGTTAATGTATTTAAAGAAATTTTCAAATTATATTAGTCCATGCATTTTACAAGTTTTTAAATTTACCATAACTATCATAGGGTTTTGGGATAGTCTGGTAAAAAGTATGTATGTTAAATTGTTTTGGATTAGTTTTTAAATAGATTTAATTTTATCAATACAATCTACAAAAAATTATATTTATAGGTTTTAGTGAAACTTTTTTAGGCTGCGGCCACACGGGCGTTTTTTCACGCACAAACGCAGCGTGAAAACACGCGAAAAATATGAGTAGCATTGAAACAAATAGGCGCCCGCTACTGCGGGAAAACACACTGCGTGTGGCATACCTCATTACATTTAATGCTGCTCATATTTCTTGCGTTTTTTCATGCTGCGTTCTTGCGTGAAAAAACGCCCGTGTGGCCGTAGCCTTACACAATATAATTAATAATTAAGATTATACAATAATAAATAATAGCCAAACTAGCATTGTTTCAATAATTATTTTGGTATATTTACTCATAAGTGATGCAATATTTAGACATAATATAAAGAAAAATATAAACAAATTGTAAAAAATAAATAGGAATATCAAAATTACGCAAAATAATGGTTGAAAAATAAGACCAAGTGATATATCAAACATTATAATAAAAAAGTATGCATGAATTGTAAAAAATATTTATTTACGATAAGAAATACGCAAAGTGATATAACAACTATAATAATGACGAAGTATGAGATTGCAAAAAGTATAGGCCTACAGTATGTAGACTACTGGGGAGAACGCACGACATACGATAAAAATCGTATAGTGGGCGAGCGCCCATTTGATCGTACACGCCACTGCAAGTTAGACAGTCGTACGACAGTCGTGTATCACAGTGGCAGTGGACGACTGCTTCACGACAGTTTATCGTAGTCGTGAGATTATCGTACAGTGGGCGAGCTCTCATAAGATCCAATGGTTCACTGCGGAAATGTTGTCGTTCCGACACAGTGTCGTACGACCGAAATCGTATAGTGGGCGAGGGGCCGTAGCTTGATACTAACTCAATGAAACGTTGTAAGTTGTTATTGTTAGTATGGTAATCAACGGTTTAAGCAGTAGGCTGTCCCAGTCCACGTCATCAGGTCAAGGTCACTCACTTAAGTCAGCTGATTTTAGATTATCAGTTTTATCCACGGACAAAACAAACACAGATAACAACAGATAACGGTTTGGATCATAAACATAAACAAATAATATATCTGATCCGGATGTAAACTTGACATAATAGGTCAAACAGCTAGTTAATGGTACTTTCACATTTTGGCTGTTAAATTATTGTTTAGTTTATTTTGTTTCGCACCAGTGATGTTATTTGGTCATGTTCATGGTCCATGCAGTGTTTTAACGTGTACAGTCGTAATCTGTACAACATGTCATATGCAAAACACACCCATTCATATGGATATTAGAACATTTTTATATTTGGTAAGGATAAGCCTTACATTTGGTAAGGATTATAATTAAAAGAAATAACGTCACTGACTCGAAAGTAAACCAGTTATCTCATTATTTGAATGGTGTTTAGAGTTAAAAACGTCAAAACCAGCTGTTACGGTTATTAGTATATAAGATTTGGAGTGACGTCATTTGTTTATTATTATTATGATCCTTTTTATTTTTTTGTTTTTTTTTTATCCGTGCCCATTACTAACCCACACGTTTTGATGCTTACTTATTATTGACAATATTACATTTCTTTTTTTGGACGACATGGTTTTTATCTGAGGTTATTAATCCAGTTAGATATCTTTGGCGTCAACACAGTCCTTGCCACCGGAGTTAATTTCACAAACAAACACTCATTTAAAATAAAAATAAATAAAACAAAATAACAGACTTAAGTTCTCACGTACGTTGATAAAGGTGATATTGGTCAAACTCACGTCATGATAAGGCGCTTACAACGTTTACGTGAGAAAAGTACATTGAAAAAACACACATTGACATTGGTGCGGCGAAATTTCAGTATTGGAGAACTGATGTCCGTTATTTTATTTTTGAATTTTTATTTTAAATGTGTGTGAAATCAACTGTGGTGGACCGCGTTCACCTAATTTAAGTAGGGTGAGGTATGCCCAAAATATTTATCTAACTAATTATTTAAAATTGTGTGTTGTCAGTGCGGTCAAGTTTTGGTCAAGGTCAAATTAGATCTCATGGAAGTGTTAGTGAATTTCGTTAATCTGAATGCACTTCCTACACTTTTCTGCAAAAATCCAATAACATATTAAGGTCCTTGGAAAGAATTTGACCCCCATCCCGAAATAAAAATCCCACAATGTTGTAAATTTTACACGTCGACTAATGGCAAAAATAACAACTTGTACAATCTCACACAATTGTGTAAGAAACTGCTTTTTTAGCAAAACTCCTGTAAAAATAATAGTGTCCAGTCATGACTTAAGTTACAAGTCACAACGTTCCGACTGACAATTGTCTACTCTAGACAAAAAGTTTTCTTCTTGAAGTTAACTGACAGTTTCCCAATTTTCAAGAACACCTCGTTTAGTGGCATCGCCTTACATTAATGCTACTTTAAACTCGTCAAAATTCTACGTGTAAAGTTAAATAAAAACTCATATGGTTGTTTTATTTCTAAAACTTTAAATGTCCCGCTATATTAAAATATATAAAATATTTTCCTATTAAAAAAAAACTTAGTGCCTTGTTTTTGAACTAAAACTCACCCTCTTTTTATTGCTAATGAATAATAGCGACGCCCCCGCCATAGTAAAACAACTTGTTCAATAAATTGACAGGGGACACAATCCCATAGTTTCCCTTGAGTTACATGGACGTTGTCAGTGATAATGAAGTCCTCAATCAAAGTGACGTCTCTCTAAAATAATAGACCGTTTGTTTAGTTTTTGTTTAAATCTCTTTGTTTAGTGTTATACTATTGTGGTCTTTTATTTATGGGGTTTTGTAAATTATGGTGTAATTTATCAGTATTTATTTTTATGTAGAAATATTAAATAGTTTACGGATACAAAAGCTTGATAATATGACATTCCTATTAATAATACGAATTCCTACTCAATACGAAGGAGCAAGCTGGTCTAGTGGTAGAGCACGGGGCTTCGGTGCGCGAGGTCCCGAGTTTAAGTCCCTCTAATCACTTATGGATTTTATCTATGCCGCAACCCTCAAGGACTAACCTGAAATTTGTTAAACAGTTCCGGGTTAGAACCTAGCGTCCTAGGATGTGAAGATGGGACATAACAAATAGGAGCTCAATACAGGATATTGATATGGATATATTGATACAAGGATATTTTAGTGTTTATCTGAAGTTTCACTCTAAAACCAAGTACATTAAAAATGAATTACGGCATGGACAGTGGATGGACTTAAGTAGAGTGAAAATGTGAGAAAGAATCCCCTAAGAAATCACTTCTTTAAAATCAAAATGTATTTTGAAAAAAAATATTGGTGAGGAGAAGCTCACGTAACAAGTTGTCAAATATACTGGAAAATATCGAGATTCAGGTTTGGCCGCTCCTTATAATTAAATAATAAATAGTTGTTAATTAAAAAAATAGGTTCAAAAGTTATTGTAACTTATGTTATTTCCCATAAAAAACCATAAAATAACAAAAAATCCGATTTCTGAAAAAGTGCCTGTTTTGATTAAAATTAGTATGTTATGGTCCTTATAGTTCTAAACAGTATAGTGCAACCTACCATTGCTGTAAAATTTACTGTTTAAAAGTTATTGCGACTTTTGTGATTTTCCCTATAAAATATCATAGATAACCACCGCCTACCTATGATAAAGGTTGTTGACAAGCTAATGGGAGAAAGGATGTGTCAGATCGCTGATACCATTTATTTATTATTTATTTTTATTTATTTTATATTGTTTATATTAATGTTAATTACAGTAGCCCTACATATGAACAATAACAAAAATAAATAATTAATAAATTCGTCTAGCTTTGGTGTACTCAATTTAAATAAGTTCACATAACTACCAAACACCAATAGTGACGCAGCAAATGTGTAGTAAGTTAGTATTGCCAG